ATAGTTAATAACCAAAACATCGAGAACTTATGGAAACAATAAGGAAATTTACGAGACGTTTCATCATAGTAGACTGCTTTCGATTTCTGAGAGTCGATGAACGCACTTGTGTGCACGAATACAAGGTTTCTTTTTAATTTATACCTTTTAAAGAAAAGTGTGTCGATTCGCGTTACACGCACTATAAATGGAAGCTACCCTTTTACTTTACGGTTGCTCATGTGCATTTAATAGAAAGTAAAAGTTGAAGAAATTTTTTTTAACGATTGATCTCTTTTTCTCGACTGTGCTAAGCAAATAATTCTTTAACAATAACATTGCCGTTAAATTTATCAAACAAAATTTTGTTCGCTGCAAATAATTTGCTGAATTTACAAATTATTTGGCTTATACAAATCGTTTTACTGCGACAGTAAAATATATTATTTAATTGACAGTATAAATTCATCTACTTCTATAAATACATTCATTCAAGAATTATCAAGAAAACTTGTAATATCAAATAACTGATTATGGCAGCAACGCTTAATCGCACCTAGTTCAAGTGCAGCTATAATTGTGCTGTAACTGATTTCTTCTCTTTTATGTAACTTTTCTTCTGTGTGGCGTTTCCTTATTTTCCTACGTCAATGGAACTGACACAGTTGGAAGCTCTTCCCTGTTTTCAAAGAAAGTGAGAGATCACAGAAAGAGCGAGGAGAAGCGGACGCGGAAGGGGATATCTTTTACATGAGGAACTAACGGTCTGTTGAATTATTTAAGACGTACTTGTGCAGTCTGCGTGAAGCGGATTCCCTTGCGTACGTAACACCGGCGTGCACTCGTGAACACATTCGTCAGCTTCTGCGTACCAACGAGGATCAAATATAGCTGGGCTTTCTCTATTGTATATAACATTGTCACAAGTTCGTTGTCTTACATTGCGCACATAGATACTATTGAATCGTCCTATAAATATTACATAGTCTTTTTTTGTTAGATAGGCGATAAAGAAATTAGTATTGCTGATGAGACGTGCGTTTAACATAAATATTTCGAGTAGTGACGTAATGTTTCGTTACAAAAGCAGACCGTGAAAATTGTAATATTCTATTTTTTTATATCTCTTTTTTCAAGTCACGTTATTTGTTGAAGAACTCAATACGTAAAAACTCGAAGAAACCGATCTTCTCATTTTGCCAATTTTCTCGTTCTCTGTAATCTTAATTAAAAAAATTTTTTAATTTAATCGTACGAGGTGTTACACGTATTGCACATTTATCCATTCAACATTCTCTAAGCGTGTATCAAGTATATGTCTTGTGGTGTATGAATACAACGAAGGATTTGTTTACGAGAGACGATATCGCGTCTGTTGACCATTCAGAAAAATATCGCGCCAGCAAGTCGATACGACATGTCAGATCCCGACATTCGATTCGCGCTTTACGTCTGGCAGATAAAAACGAAGCATTTGTTTTATTTACCGGAATATATTACCGCGAGCAAGTTTTGCACGACGCGATTAGATGTGATAATGACTGCTGCGACGGGAACTTTATTTGCATCTCTAATTTCTGCCTGGCATACGTATCAAAGCCTGACAAATAAATCGCTCTTGTAGAGTAAGCGAAATGAGATACTCTCTGGAATTAAACGGACGTAACTCGATACTACCTTTACGCCTCGTTGTCTTGAAAATCTTAGATCAACGTTGTGTTGACGACAGTAAGTTCCTTGCCCACTGCTTACAATATTCAAATTTCAAATAAACATAATATTAATGCTATAACTTTTGTGAAATTTTGTTCTAGCAAAAAGCACAGAATATAAGACTGTTACAAATTAATTTTTCTAGTAAATAAAACTACATTTTTCTTCCGTTTCCTCCTCCTAGGCATTTAAACATTTAAAACACCAAATTATCGCATCTCTGTAGTTTTACGTACATTTCATTACGAAAACTGACAAGTCGAACGGACTTCAATTGAATAATTATTGATATTTCAGACAACACACGATTTCCTAATTACGAATCGAACCAACAACCAAACATGCACGATAAAAAGAAGAATATTTTATTTTCCATGTAAATGGCACTCGGCATTAGCAAAAAGCGATGAAACAAGCCGTGTATGAGTGTAAAAGCAGCGAAGAACTAACTATCGATTTATCGTCAGGCGAGTACTTCGAGCGCATGACGATAAAACGTTTGCGTCTCGGCAAAACCACCTACGGTCGCGGTACGCTGCAGTAGGTTCACCGTTACAACTCCCACCGCGTTCACAAAGCTGTCCAGTTTGCGTCGTTTCTGCACGCAATATTTTATATAACGGTCGCCAACAATCCGATACTCGAGATATTGTATGTTTCCGCAGTTAATTACGGCCACGAAACGGAAAGGCTCCACTCGTCTGCATAACTCGGGAGATGTTCTATTTATAATTTCAGATATATCCTTTCTTTTAGTTAGATAATCTTTATTAGAGAGAAAATCAGAATGCATACGTATATAAAATAAATATCAGAGATATATATCTGTATGTATATAAAAACATGTGATACATATAAAATTAAAAGTAAAATTGTGTTTGGAATTCTAACGCAAGTTAAGAACCGTCTAAATATTGGCTCAAAGCTATTTTCCTTTTTTAATCTTACAATAGAGTGTTTGTCCCTTTATTTCATGAGAGAATTATATTTACACATGCAGGATTATTCCTTGGTAATATTAATAGGATTGGACTATATACTGGAAAGCTACATATTGTTTCAAAACTTCAACGGATTACTTTTCTCCTCTGCATTTTATGGCTTCTATTGTGAGGCTTTTGTAACTACATGCTACAAATATTTGCGCGAGTCAGACTATTTGATATGTTTCAACTTACAGGATGTTTTTAAAATCGTCATTATTTTCATTGTAGATTTTTTCGTCGATTTGGGATCTTTTCTCGACACAAACATTTTTGAGCGCCCACAATCTTCCAACAATTAAAGACAAAAACAGGAGACTTTCAAAGTAAACTTTAGAAGCGGAAAGATTAATGACAACATCATATTCTTCAGCCAATTTCAACTTGTATTGATATAAGTAACAAAGTAGAATTTTAATTCGAATTGTAACCACAATAACATAATATGTATGATAAAATTGAAATGGTAAACGATGGCTACAAAAGTAGTCGAAAAGAGGTTGCGGTTAAAAGGGACATCCGGTGGCTCTGCAATATCCTGCAGAATCAGTTGAATATAGGTTGCGGTGGGGGATATCTATATATCCACTCGGAATACGAGGGTTCAAATACTGGAAAAAGGGGTCGACTCAAGGGTGGGAACAGACAAAGATAGTCGGATTTCTGTCAGCTTTTGTTACAGACTGCGCGGCGCCTCACGCGTTCTAAATCTACAGTTAATTACCCGCGAATTGTGCGATCGAAAATAAGCCAGTCAACATGACTCATCTACTTTCCGGAATTAATGTCGATTGTGTTGAATACGTTTGACAAGAAATTGGGATGAAAATAAATGTTTAAATGCATGAAACGAGATGCATAAGACCAAATTATTTTTTACATATATTAAAGTTGTTGAGTACATGAGTAAAAAGAATGGACGTAAAAAGTTATTATAAAGTCATTAAAAGAAATTTGCGATTTAATGACGAAACACTTATATAATTATATCAATTGTAATAATCATTTAAAATCTTTTTGTTCTGTGAAAACACAAAGTTGTTTAGGTATCAAACACAATGCATTTCTAGAAATTAATTATCTGAATTGACTATTAGATCTTTTCCAGCAATTCTGTTGTTGAAAAAGAATTTTGAATACACTAAAAATGTAATGTGAAAACACTAAAAATAATTAAAGAGATCATTTTCACATTTTTTGTTTTAGAAAAAAACAAGCTTGGAAAAATGTAAAAAGAATTGCTCATACAATACATAATTATGTAATTTTATATAAAATTATACATAAGTAATTTTTTTACATTTCTTCCAACTTGATTTTTTTCTAAAACAAATAGTACGAAAATTACACTTTTAATTATCTTTAATGTGTTTTCACAATACTATTATTATTCGTATTACACTAAAAAGTAATTTTACAGAAGAAAGAAGGATGTATGAACACGTATGGACATATTTCATACATAATTATACATGTTTATGAATATTTATGTTTATACATATTCATGCATGAAAAATTTTTTACCGGGTATGTTCTTGGAAAATTTTTAGCTGATAATGAGATATCTTATATGCACTATGTGTACGTGGGATAATCTCTATCTCTTCTCTCTCGCAGCAGATTACACATCGTTAATTCCTAGAAATGCATTTGCGTGTAGAATTCTACACCTACGTGTCCTTGCATTCCTGTAAATGAACTAATTACTCGTATGTCACATCGTAGAAATGTGCTAAGAATATCCAAAGAAGCTCGATAAACTTTGATTTGTTGCAAATCCCTTAAGCACTGCTGTTTACAACACAAAAACTCTACTACATAAAAAGATTTCTAGGATCTGATTAAAATTTAATCTAATTTTCTTTCAAAAAATCATGAATTGTATAAAATCTATACAGATTTTAATTAAAAGTGTAATATTTGCAGGATCGTTCAAAGAATTTGAGTTTTCTTTTACAAGCACATATAACGAAAACGTAAAATTTTACGACAAATAAGTTTTGAAATATAATACTTTATCTTCTATTCAAGATAAAAAAAAAAATAAAATAAAATAGTCGGATTTAAGGAAAAAAAGAGAAAGTTGCACAAGAGAACCTTGAATGAGCATCATTCCAATGTTTGCTTCGATGTTTATATGTGGCTGTAACATTTAAATTTATTTATTTAATAAACAAGCGTATTTAAATTAATTTGATTTAATGAAAAAAAGATACGAATATAACAAATAAAAAAATGCGAATGCGGGGAATATGAAAGTTTTTTTAAGTTTTGTTTGAATAATTTATCTTCAGATTTTAAGTAGCATATTTCATCTTTTTTCAGAGTGATCCTAGTACTGCATTTTTACGGGCAGCTCGTGCTGGGCAACTCGAGAAAGTTTTGGAATATTTGGAATCTGGAGTAGATATTAACGCTTCTAACGCCGTAAGTAATTGATCTGTCGCTTCCCGTGGATTTTGAAGTAGCGCACAACCGTGTATTATCTCGGTCTTGAGAAGAATTACTCCTTAACGAGAATGAATTTTATATATTGCAGAATGGCTTAAACGCTTTGCACCTGGCAGCTAAAGACGGCCACTTGGAAATCGTGAGGGAACTTCTAAATCGCGGCGCAATTGTGGACGCCGCTACCAAAAAGGGAAACACGGCATTGCACATAGCTTCTCTTGGTAAGCGTGTACACGTCTTCATTTTTCTATCTCTTTTTCGTTCTCTCATCCTATCTTTACTCGGTAATGGATCTCGTCGCTTGTTAAATGCATAGAGGACAAGGACGCGAATGATTTTAAATAAACATTTATATCTCTTGAGGCTTGCGATCTCGCATTGCAAAGTCCTGCGAAACGAATAATTCGCGTGACACCGATATTTTCTTTCAGCTGGACAAGAGGAGGTGGTACAAGTACTAGTACAACGAGGTGCTTCTGTGAATGCACAATCGCAAAATGGGTTCACACCGCTGTACATGGCTGCCCAGGAAAATCATGACTCTGTGGTCAAGTACCTCCTCTGCAAGGGTGCGAATCAAACATTGGCCACCGAGGTTTGTGAGAAATGCTGTTCCATCGTTTATCAACGAGTTCTCGTCGTTGTCAAGCTTTTTAAATATATTTATTATTTTTACAAATTTTTTACTCCATTTTATTTTTAATTTAAATTATTATTTAATAATTCTATTTCAATTTTATTATGCACGTTTCTCTTCGTCTACAGGACGGTTTCACTCCATTGGCGGTGGCTATGCAACAGGGTCACGACAAGGTAGTGGCCGTTCTATTAGAAAATGACACCCGTGGTAAAGTTCGACTGCCTGCCCTACACATCGCTGCTAAGAAAGACGACTGCAAAGCGGCTGCCCTACTTTTACAAGTGAGTTATCGTAACGCTTTGTCAGTCACGACTCGTATTTTAGACGATAATAGTAATAGATAGAAATTAGTCCTTGTATAATCTCTTTAAATAATTTTTCTTTCATTGTAGAACGACCATAATCCCGATGTAACATCGAAAAGCGGTTTCACTCCGCTTCACATAGCCGCACATTATGGCAACGACCGAATCGCTTCCTTGCTTTATGACAAAGGCGCGGATGTTAACTTCGCTGCAAAGGTACTTAACTTTTACAGAGAAGAAGAAGGAAAATATTATCGAAATGCTCTAAATATACTCTCTTTTTATAATTTCAGCACAATATCACGCCAATGCACGTGGCTGCGAAATGGGGTAAGATTAAAATGGTTAATCTTCTCATGAGCAAGGGAGCAAACATCGAAGCGAAAACGAGAGATGGTTTAACTCCTCTGCACTGCGCGGCCAGGTCCGGTCACCACGAAGTAGTTGACATTCTCATCGAGAAAGGGGCACCCATTGGCTCAAAAACAAAGGTACGAACTGAATCGACCGCATGCGTTTCACCAGCAAAACGTTTCCCTCTTGCCGAGATTAATTACCACTTTTTGTTGACAGAATGGTCTTGCCCCGTTACACATGGCTTCTCAAGGGGATCACGTTGATGCCGCGAGAATTTTATTGTATCACCGTGCACCCGTGGATGAAGTGACGGTGGATTATTTGACTGCGCTGCATGTGGCTGCACACTGCGGTCACGTACGCGTAGCTAAACTACTTCTTGATAGAAATGCCGATCCTAATGCGCGAGCGCTCAATGGATTTACCCCTCTTCATATCGCATGCAAGAAGAATCGTATAAAAGTCGTCGAACTCCTCCTGAAGCACAAAGCGAGCATCGAAGCTACGACTGAGGTATAACATTTTCAAATTCTTCTCCTCACATTTCTCTTATCACGTACTTATTCCCAATGTTTACGAGATTATACTATATGATTGCAAATATATGAAAATGACTAATGTCATATATATATATATATGTATTTTTTTTTACAGTCTGGATTAACTCCACTACACGTAGCGAGTTTTATGGGATGTATGAATATCGTGATTTACTTACTACAACACGAAGCTAGCCCTGATATACCGACAGTAAGAGGCGAAACGCCATTACATTTAGCCGCCAGGGCGAATCAAACTGATATTATTAGGATACTTCTTAGAAACGGCGCTCAAGTCGACGCTAGAGCAAGAGTAAATACCATGCTTAATTAATAATAATTGAGTAGCTTTTATCGCTAAAGATGAATTTGTTATACAATAAAACAGATATAAAGAAATACGAATTATTCGTAGGAGGAACAGACACCGCTTCACGTCGCTTCCCGTCTGGGTAACGTCGATATTGTGATGTTACTGCTACAGCATGGTGCGGGCGTAGACGCTACAACGAAAGATTTGTATACACCGCTTCATATTGCTGCTAAAGAAGGCCAGGAGGAGGTAAGATTATAAAATGTTACATATACATAACATACGAGATAGATTTCTTTCATAATGTGTTTTTATGATCACACAGGTTGCATCCGTTTTACTAGAAAATAACGCCTCGCTTACCGCAACGACCAAGAAAGGATTTACTCCCTTGCATTTAGCGGCCAAGTATGGCAATATGAACGTAGCTCGATTGTTGCTGCAAAAGAATGCGCCTGTTGACGCTCAAGGAAAGGTAAGCACTTTTTAAATTAAGCACTTAAAGATCAAATTAATTGTAAAAAAGTTAACTTGCACGCATTATGCCACATTATTTTATATGTCGGTCTGTGCAGAACGGAGTAACGCCTCTTCATGTAGCCTCTCATTACGATCATCAAAACGTAGCTTTACTTTTACTCGATAAAGGAGCTTCACCACATGCCATGGCTAAGAATGGCCATACACCATTGCATATCGCTGCACGCAAAAATCAGGTACGATCACACAACGGTAATTATTCAGAATAATAGCAAATAAAATTACTTTTGCTTTCAATAGATGGATATTGCGACTACTTTGTTGGAATACGGAGCGAAAGCTAATGCAGAATCAAAAGCGGGTTTTACACCGTTACATTTGAGCGCACAAGAAGGCCATACTGATATGTCAACCCTTCTTATCGAGCATAAAGCAGACACAAATCACAAAGCGAAGGTAGATAAAAAAGGAACACGATGTAATTTTCAATTAACTTTTATTTATAAAATCTTACGTTATATTTATTTTTACACTTTACAGAATGGCCTTACGCCTCTACATTTATGCGCACAAGAGGATAAAGTGAACGTCGCATCCATTCTTGTCAAGAATGGTGCTCAGATTGACGCTAAAACTAAGGTAACATAATTAATAAGCTTTCTTATATTTTACACGTAAACTTGTCAAAGTAACTCACGTAATCAAAAATAAGTATTCGTTCTGATCATAATAATATCAACGCGACTACGATTGTGTTTTTAGTTACAGTATGTTAGCACTTTATGCATAATTAAATTATCATAGATGACGTAATCTTCACAAGTGATTGTTCATTGCTCTATATTGTCCATTGATAACTTCGAAATAATACCTATCTCCATAACACTGTGTAGTAGCGTGACTGCTGTTGGTCTTAAAGCAACTCGTTATAAATAAGATTTATTGGATTAAATAGTAAAATAGTTTGTGAAATTGTATAAAATTAAACCTAATTACTTAACAGACATTAAACCTAATTACTTAACAGATATTACATCCAATAATACATAAAGAGGTCTTATGTTTTGTCGTATTTTCTCTAGGCTGGATATACACCGTTGCACGTGGCGTCTCACTTTGGTCAGGCAGCTATGGTACGATTTCTCTTAAGATCTGGTGCTGCTGTTGACAGCAGCACCAATGCTGGTTATACTCCTCTTCATCAAGCCGCGCAACAAGGACATACGCTTGTTATTAACTTGTTGTTGGAGAGTAAAGCTAAACCGAATGCTGTAACCAACGTAAGTTTTATTTTATGTTTTTTACATTGAAATTCGTTGAAAGTTATCAGAATACAATATAATCATACTCGATGTAAATTATTTTTCCACAGAACGGACAGACTGCTTTAGATATCGCACAAAAGCTCGGTTATATAAGTGTCATTGAAACGTTGAAAGTTGTCACAGAGACTATCATCACAACAACTCATACCGTTACTATTGAAGAGAAGTACAGAGTTCAGGCACCCGAATCCATGCAGGAGACATTTATGAGTGACAGCGAAGACGAGGGCGGTAAGTACTCGTATTTAATTACTAATATCTTTTTGCTGCTTACTATCTCTATTTGCTGCATAATTTAATGATGAAAGTTTGCGATATTGGAACGGAACAAACTGTTATAAAAAATTTAACAAGCGTGTATGCATAAGATATTGATAATGTTGCAGTTGTTTCAAAAATAGCTTGTTTCTCTGATATCGCAATAAATTTTACAAACATATTCTGACAGCTTATTGCTTAGCATAATTATTTTGCCTTGCGTATTCGGATTTTAGCATCGATATAAAATAGAGCTGATACATGTGAGAGAAAGTAAAATTGATAGCACAACAATGCTTTTGCTTAAGCTGATAATACGCATAGAAACGACAGTATCTAACAAACTTTTTTCCTTAAGGCGAAATTATATATCTTTCTAAATATATCTATATAACTGTGCAAACAGCACGTTATAGCAATATATTATCGCGTATATACGAGATGTATAGGTTTTAAAATTACAGATATAAGAAGCTTTTTGGTAGATACAGTATTTGCACGCCAAGAAGATAAAATTTTTATGAATCATTGCATGGAGGAGAATTACGGAAACTTAATATTAAAGAGTTACGAAAAATAAAAAAGTGTAGGAGTACAAGTATTTACATGTCTATTGACAGGTAAATATTCAATCAATTCGAAGTAATGTGAAGATTAGATAGAAGTAATGAATTAGCAATAGAGTTCTGAGAACAAAACAGTCGCATGTCCGCGTGCATGACACAAAAACACTATTAGCATATGAAACTGAAGTTGGCTACCCAATAGAAACTGATATCCTTTCCCGATCCACACGACCACTACGGTATAAACTACATAAGATAGTCGAGATAAATAGAATTCCAAATTTCAAGAAGAGAAAATTAGCTCTATCTGTCAAAGATTCAGTTTCTTAGTTATCTATTAAAGTTATTAAATGGATATCAAAATGTTAAATGGAATCATTTGCTTGATTGTTGCGTTTATGTTATTTTGCAAAAGCATGCACTTAGCCAATATTCACTGGGTTGTTGTACATTATATATTTTTATTGAAACTAAAGAGTAAATAATCGTAAAAATTCCAATCAGGTATACATATTTAAGAATAAAATATGAATCAAGTCTTTTCAACAAGAATTCGAGATTGTCTAAATTATTGTTGACTATTTTAACGATCAACTTGATATATATTACTATATCAACTTGACATGTATTAAATCATATATTAAATTAAAGGATCGTCTATTTATATATCTAATAATGTATATATTGATACAGAGAGCTTGTAAATGTGTGTAAAAACTTTCTTTAAAATTAAAAATTTAGTTGTTTTAATTATTTCCGACAATAGGAACATTTATCCTCATTCCATCTCTTGAAATTACAACACGTGTTTGTGTGCCTAAGAAAAAATAAAGGACGTAGTTCTAGTTGGTTCGTAACTTAGCGATTCTCTGTCTGCTTATTGAACAAGCCAGAATCCGCGCCACGCGTACATCTCATTCTTGACTCTTGCGTAGCTTCGGTGTTAGTTCTTTTTTTTTTTAACAACCCAGTGATAGAGAGCGAAACTTAGAAAAAAAGAACAAACAAACAGTGTATATGGTGCAAAATTAGCGTTCTGATGAAACCATGACCTTACCTCGACGGCGTGTACGATGTATGTAGGTGGTGATGAAATCGGCACGGCAGCCATGAATGTGTACGGGCAGCCTCCGCACGCGCAACACGTGTACCTTCCTTCTTACTACCAGGGCCAAATGACCTATACCCGTAAGTTGTCTGTACTCTGTTTCTGTTACACTCTCTCTCTGTCTTCACGCGTTCCAACACGGAACGTCACCGCGGAAAATATTACGATAACGTATTAGATAATACATTACATGTATGTATACGCTAGCACTGTCGCAGAACGACGTAATCTTCAGAAGATGTGTCATTGTTAATTGTCGTTCTTTTGCCGATGCGACACATCCCGCATAGAAATTTCTCTAAATCTTCTCCGATACAGATTCCGATCAGAATGCCTACACGCCAATTTAATCTAAAAAGATGCACCGCGCGGTACTTATTGCAATAAATATCAATTAGAGAATTTATATTAATTCACTTTTATCTTAAATATAGATTTTTTTATCTAGAATTGTAACAGAAATTAGCTCCTTTTTCACGAGGAAAATCGATATACTTTTACATCATTATTTCTATACAATTCAATAAAATTGAGAATGAAAGTTACGTTAATATATGGACTGTAATTTATATATTTAATTATTTATTATTAGCACTTTAAATAGTATTTGTCATAAAAAATATTAATTGAAATAAAAATTATGATCCACTTTAAATAAGCAGGAGTATAATAGTTTTAAATCATTTTTATTAATATAATAAAGAAACAATGTTTTTCTTAAATTTTTCTAAGATAATAATAACATTACATTTTTGTTTAACAATCTTAAAAAAAAAAAAGCTTTAAAAAAACATTAGAGAAAGAGCAAGCGGGATCTTTTTTCAAACTGTCTTTTTTGTTTTATTTAATTTAAGATCTCGTTTGCAAAACACTGCGCTTCTGATCTGAATCTCCATAAATTTTCCGAAGTAATAATTCTTTTGAGTCCATAATTCTTTTGAGAAATCAGATCGGGTCCCAATTAGATCGTAGAACGTTTTCTATGTGGGAGCAGCTGCTTCGTTATTTTTGACGATTAGAGCATCGTGACGTAGCGGCATACGACCATCGTAGTATCGATCATCGTCGTCATCGTTATTATTTCGCCGGTAGCGTTCGTACATCCGCATCTCGGATCACGTTCCACTCTTTCACGAGTACATTTCGAGCTAATCGAACTTTCATACATCAGATCTGCATACAGAGACACGCACAGACACAACTATTCCTCGCCCGCTATTTTTGTCACACATCATTTATTATTTTCGCATTCGTCTTCCTGTCATCCTCTCTTTTTTCTCCCCTGAATCTTTTATTTTTGATAGTAGCACTCCGATAATATACGAAATTACACTGTGCGAATTATATTCTAAATATCAAGTTACACATCGTGATTTTCAATTATAGATGTTAAGAGAAGACATCGTTTAATAAAATTATATAAATTTTACTATTTTACTATTGAAAATTCTCTATATGAGACAAGTGTTGTTGATAACATAATTATATTGTACTGTTTTAATATAAAATCTGAGAAACTTGATACATACGTGATTCAGACGATTGTAACGATATCGCTGTAATACCTTAAGGATTTATAACACATCTAAGTATTGCATTTTATTGTATTTTATTGTATTTTTTTAAAGTTCTTTTTCTTAACGGGGAACGTCTAAAAGCGGATAATCTTAGATTTTTGACATATTCAGAATAGCCTGTGTGAGATAGTTCTGATATTATTACATAATTTTTCCATGGAATACTTCACGATCGCATAAACCTCGGCACGTGTGGTTTCAATTGTGTCGCGTTCCCGGTGCAATCAATGCAATCTTACAAGTATTATATAAAAAGCAATATGCGATCACCAATGTGATCGTTATCATTATCCCGCGTATGATAAATTCTTTCGTTACGCAGCTTCAACAAACAACGTAGGAACTGCTCTTATTTATTGGAACAAATATCTCCAAGAATGCGAGTTAAACGATATCGGAATGTTAACTGCCATAAATAAAAAAATTATAGAGGATGTAGAAAATCCTTAGAAAATCTGAATAATAAAAAATGCGAATTTTGCAATGTCAATATTTACAACAGACACTTCGGGATGCAAGGCTCAAAAGAGTTTCTTAGTAAAATTAAAAGGTTTCTCTATGCATGTGTATATAAATTATTACAGAATCAACTAGAATCATAAATCAACTAGAAACATGATCTTTCGGGTAAATCGAATCGAATTTTAGATTTCAGAAAATTTTCTATGCGGATATCATATTTAATACGAAACTACGTTTTATTGTTTTTGCATATTTTGTTCACATGAAATTCAGGTTCGATTAATTTCTGCTAATCCAGTGAGATTTCCGGACTTATTCCCGGATTTTTCTAGCTTTCCGCGCGAGTACGCACTTGCACGTGTCAAAAAGTGAACCCACCAAATCGCTCGCAAATTAGTCGCCGGAAGTAGAGAGGCACATGAATTTGACTCTGCAGGGGATGGGGGATCTGTGCTTCTCTGGTTGTGCGGTGCGACTTTACGTACATAATAAAAGCAAGAACAGGGCGTACGGCTACCGTTAATGTAATTTACATAATAACGAGCTGCGCGATCGTTATACCAGCCGACCCGACCGAGGCGCGCTTCGACGTCGTCCTCGTTGTAGTTGTACCTACCACACGATACCGCCCTCCACTTCGGCTACCTGTTATGCAACGGTCGGCGTGCGTTCACAGCCGCGTTATTAGTGCAGTCAGTCCAACCCCTGCCGCTTGGCGTGCAGCCAAACGCACGGATCCCGGACTGAAATAATCTCGTATTTATATAACGTTACACGCGCGGCGGCCGCCGATTGAGAGAAGAAACAGAGAACAAATAAAGCGTGTGAATTGTAACGCACTCACGCACGCGTCGACGCCCACGCTTGTACTTACCGCGCGAACAAAATATCGCGTCTCTATCGAGCGCATTTTTACAACGGGGTCGATCGTATAATCGACTGAAAATAATATATATATATCGGCGAATAATCTTGGGAAATTGCCGAAAGAAACGGCTCTTCGTTCCATAGAAAAGATGGATTGTCACACCCATTGTTGTTTCATCCGCTAAATGCTCGAATTAGCTGCATCGTCACGTGTGACTGAATGATTATCATGATTAAATTCGTACGACTGATTAACTTGTTGTCACGCAAACGAGAAAGGAAAACGTCGTTTCTGCCTAAACGACAATAAGTAGTAGTTCTATCGATCCCGTCTTATCTCGCACTGAGCGAGAGCTTTTCAAATTTCATTTGCGCGGTGAACTTTGACCTACGTAACGTCGACGTGATATGTTACAAATTGGCTTTATCTACTAATTGGCGCCGCTACGATTTGATCACATAGATCGCTAGTGAAATAAATCGCTCCCTTCGCGTGTGCTCTCTCGTTGATTCTTCTCAACGGCAAAGAAAGGCGCCGCGATGCCGATGGCTACGGTACGGTAAATAAAGTGGCGGGAAAAGCTCAAAGGCAGCTACTATTATAAAATTGGTGATTCACAGAATGAGGTCACGTTTCCTAGCGTGTTGCCGGTCGAACCTGTATCAATCTTCCTCGAACAGTCGCTGTTCCTGACCCCCCCCCC